TCTGCCGAACCTGCTCCTTGAGCTCAAACTTGAGATGACCCACCTCCATCTGAGACAGATGGAAGCTCTCATGATGAAGCACAGAGGCCTGAGGAATAAAAATAATGAAATCATTAAAATATTCTAAGGCTAAATGAACCCTTTAAGGGATTTAAGGAAAGGGAAACATACCCTATTCAGCGCATGTTGTGCCTCGTTGAAAAGGCTCGGTGCGTCCACTTATTAGTCTTTGCTTGATCCACTTAGGTTACCAAACAACGAAGGTAGCTGGCTATACCAACCGGCCCGATAAACACCCTGGTATCCACTGGTATCATAAACATAATCATCCTCTTGCGATCGGGATCTGCGCTCGAGGCGGGGAACTTCTTCACAAGCTCTAGGCTTGAGCTCGGCCCGCCTGTATCTCGGCAATACGTCCTTTCTTGGGATTTTCAGGTGGCCAAAACCGAAGTAGTCCTCCAATGCACCGACGTCCATGACTTCAAAGAATAGATAAAGGGCCTTACCTACGACACGTGATGCCTCGGTTAGCTTTTCTATAACGGCATGTGCCTCATCAAAAAGATACTTCGTGAGAGACGGAGACTCCGGAACATCAATGATGTCGGTGGCTTCCCTCAAAATTGTAGTAGCTTCTTGAGAGGCAGTAGCCGTAGGATTTTCGTCGGGCTCCCAAACTAAAGAGGATTTGACCTTACGGTCGCCTCCCTCCGATGTTGCCTGCTCTTCTAAAACGACGGCCGGATCATGGGCGACAAACTCCAAGTCATCATCTTCTGGGTAGTCCATAAGCCAAAAAAGGGAATCAGGGTTCGGCACTCTGGCCCGAGTACTCTCTTTGGTACTCTTTCGGACCCTAACTATAACCCTTTTTTTCTTGGCCTCGGCGGGAGCATCCGAGGGGTCATAGGACCTCTTTTGTTTTTCCTGCTTCTTTTTCACAGCGGCCTCAGTGGCAGGTTGTCCTGAATTAGAGGGTTTTGTAGATGAGGATGAGGTTTGTCCTCATCTACTGCTCGACGCTCGGTGGTCTTGGGAAAACCCGTCAAAGGAAGAAAATTGACTTGGTCAAAATGATAGTAGAATAAAAAGGAAATTCAACCGGGGGAAGAAGGACACTCACCATGGAAACGGGCCTCCAATTTGCCTTTTGAAAGTTTGCACTATTCGCGCCTGGGACCCTCTGTGTTATTGATAAAATGAAGGAGTAAAATCACGATCCTCCAAAAATATGGATGAATCTGCCCGAGGCAAACCTTGTACCCTTTGCAGAAATCGAGGATTATTGTATCCATCGGGCCAAGCGTGAAGGTGTACGTATAAACACTTAAGTACCCCTCCATATGCGTGGTGATGTCCTCATCAGGGCCAGGGACAACTACTTCATTTCCCTCCCACTTGCAATCCTCTCGAACAGTCGGGAGCGTGTCTTCGGTGATGGAACATATATACCTCCATACCTCTTCACCTCGATATCCTTGCTTTGAGGCTTTTTTGACCTTAAAGTCATTGTCTATAGAGCAGCCTCCGGGGATAAAATTCTTCAGAGGAGGTTCCGGGACTGCTTCTGGGAGGACCTCTTCGACATCTGCGGCTGGGTAAAAAGTTGAAGAGGCGGTGTGTTGAGGCACAAATTATGAAATCTTTGCCATCGCTATTTAGGAATATAAAGGTTTTAAGACGAGTATGAAGATTTGAAGATGTGTCTAAAGGTTTAAAGGTCAAACTTGAACATTCAAAGATAAATATATGAAGATTTGAAGATTGGAGATGAATATATAAAGATGTGAAGAACAATATATGAAGATTTAAGGGAATTATGAGCAAGTAAGAAGTTCTGGGGTAGCTTAAAAAGGTTTGAAATCGAGAAGTAAAAAAATGATAAAAGGGAACCGAAGCTTTTATAGGAGGGGGGTTAATTAATGTGTGAAGTTTCACATTCGAGAATGGTCAACCGGCGGCTGACACGTATCCGAAATCAGAACGACACGATTGATGGGACATTTTGTTGACTCGTCAACCCGATTGTAGCATACGGAGGAAGGACCAGGGTCAATTGATCACTTCTCGTCGTTTCGATAAATCTACTCTCCGAAAAGTGAGGGGACTATCTGTGTACGGGTAAAATTGGGGATAAAGTTACTGCCGCTTTCCCGGTAAACAAACGAGAGGGAAGAACAATCTGACACGACCTTGAGTAAAGCCAGGGGTTCCACATCTCAAAGCCCGGAGAGGACGAATGGTGCACCTGGGACCGGATACGGCTGAGCATCGGTTCCGAGCAGAGTGAAGAATTGAGATTAAGGGAAAGGACAGTTAGATGAGATAAGCACGGAGCCATAATAACCGCCCTCAACCGGATGTTGCAACGCAAATCTCGCCCGATATCAACTTCAAATCAACGTTTACTCGAAGGAGAAGATGTTTTACCTATTTAGACTTATACTAGGATTGAAACTTCTCTGCTATATAAAGAGGAGAACCTTTTTATTTTAAAACCAATGTTGGCACGCATATCAAAGCAATAAAAGTTAAATTTTATCCTTTTGCTATTGTTCAAAGTGTTCTTTAATTGTTTGCTCATTAAGTGATAATTGACCTCGTTCCGAGGGCGAAATCGGGACCAATTCCCAAACATTCATTCCAAAGCTAAACGTTTTCATCCATTACCTTAGGTTTGATCGCTTTAATTTCTTTTAATTGAATTATTTATTGTTATTAGTTCATTCATGTTAAATTAAATTATATATTCTGTAACCACGTATAAATTCAATTGCTACTCATTTTAAGGGTAAACAAAATGAAAAACCAAAACAAAAAAAAAACATGAAATTCTTACATCGGAAAAAAAAAGTTGATGAAATTACATCAAGATTAGATTACATTACTCATTATTTTATATCGCATCACTGACGAAGGAAGAGAAGAAAAAGACAAAGTCATTTCAAGTATTAATTCAAATAAGATTAACCTTATTGCCATATTTGTAATTTCACATATAAGCACATATTCCCTCTCTCCGTTCACTTTTAGTTGTCAAGTATTCAAAAAATAAATTTTTATTTTTATTTATCACTTTTCGTAAATCAAGAAAAAATATATTTTATTTTTTCATGTTTTTCCCTTAGCATTAATTACTCATTCCAAATCATTTTTCAAATCCATTAAGACAATACACCAATTAATATGGATATCATGATAAATTATACATTTTATTTATTATTTCTTAAGAGGCGTGAAAAGTCTAAAGTGGACAATTAAAAGTTAACGGACGGAGTAATTGTTACTTCCTCCGTTTACTTTTACGTATCCGCTATGGACTTTGTACACCCATAATAAATAAAATACATAATTTATCATGATACCCATATTAATTGATATATATTTTTAATGGATTGAGAAAATAATTAGAAATGAATAATTAATATTATAGGTATAAAAAATTATTCTTTCTTGATATGCTAAAAGTAATAAGTAAAAGTGAAAATCAATTTTTAAAATAGCGGACAAGTAAAGACGAACGAAACGACTAATAAAAAATGTTGATAACAGAATAGAACCAATAAGTGAATGACCTAGGGAATGAAATCACAAAGTAAGATAAACAGTTCTTTGTTTGTTTTTTTATTTGTCACTTTGCTTTTCTCCATGTCACTCTCTTAATCAGTTTACTAGAATTTAATCCTCATTGATCAAAATTAATGATTAAGTTAGTACTTAAGTTGCACGACTTAACTCATAATAAAGAGCTAAAGCTACCATTGGTCCATCTTTTTAGTTTCCTGCTCAAAAGGACAACCAACACCTCTCCCTATATCTACTTTGTGTTCTTCCTTACCAGAATCGGATTCAGAATTTAAAATTTATAAGCTTCTATAATGATCTTAAGTTAATAACAACAACTATAATAACTCAATAAAATTCCACAGAAAGGGGCCTAGGGAAGGTAGTGTTTAGGTAGACCTTATCCCTATCCCGATGGAGTAGAGAGGTTATTTCCGATAGACCCTCGACTCAAGAAAATAAAAAAGACAAAAAAAATAATATATCAGTATCATCAACAGAAATCATAGAAATAATAATAATATTATAAGAACCAGAAAATAGTTGAAATGCAATAACAATAACCAGTAAATAAGGCCCGGTGCTATAAAAAATAGGAGAATAGTCTGAACACAACATTAACCACTAGCAATCTAAGACAAACCCTATCAGACTAGCTCACACCCGGAATGAAGTAGAAAAATACTCAACTACCTCCAAACCTACAACCATAACACTCGATCTTCACACCTTCCTATTAAGGGCTATGTCCTCGAAAATCTGAAGCCACAACATGTCCTACCTGATCACTTTTCCCCTATACTTCTTCGGCCGCCCTCTACCACTTCCCGTACCCGCCAAAGCCAACCGCTTACACCTTCTTACCGGGGCATCCGGACTTCTCCTTCGCACATGACCAAACCATCCAAGCCTTACTTCCCGCATCTTGTCATCTATAGAAGCCACGCCCACCTTCTCCCGAATATCTTCATCCCTAATCTTATCCATCCTAGTGTACCGGCACATCCACCTCAACATCTTCATTTTTACTACTTTTGTCTTCTGTATATGTGAGTTCTTAACCGGCCAACACTCTACCGCATATAACATGGTCGATCTAACCACCACTCTATAGAACTTACCTTTTAGTATCAATGACACTTTCTTGTCACACAGGATTCCAGATGCTAACTTTCATTTCATCCAACCCATCCATTTATGGTGTGTGACGTCCTCGTCGATTTATCCTTCCTCCTGGATAACCGACCCAAGGTACTTGAAACTGCATCTCTTGGGTAAATATCATACCAGTGCGTCCATCACTAGGGAAAATAAGAACGGGTTGAGCACAGATCCTTGATGTAACCCCATAATAACCGGGAAATGCTCCGAGTCACCTCACACTTTCCTAACCGAGTCTTAGCTCCGTCATACATGTCCTTGATTACTCTAATTTAAGCTACTGTCACATCTTTTACCTTCAGGCATCTCCAGAGAACCTCCATAAGGTCCTTGTTATATGCTTTCTCCGGGTCAATAAACGCCATGTGCAGATCATTCTTCATATCCCTGTATTGTTCTACCAACCTCCTAATAAGGTGGATAGCTTTCGTGGTCGAACAATCCGGCATGAACCCCAACTGGTTGTCGAATATAGACATTATCCTCCTCACACTCACTTCTACCACCCTCTCCCAAACATTCATGGTATGACTTAGTAACTTAATACCCTACAACTCTAGATATCACCTTTGTTCTTATAAAACAGTACCACCGTACTTCACCTTCACTCATCTGGTATCCTCTTCGTCCTGAAAATAATATTAAATAGACCAGTCAGCCACTCCAAGCTTGCTCTACCCACACACCTCCAAAATACTACCAAAATTTCATCTTGCCCCTACTCATCTTACGTATAGCCTTCACAAACTCCTCAACCTTAATGCACCTACAATAACTAAAGTCTCGGTGACTCTCCGAATGCCCCAAGTCACCTAGAACAATATCTCGGTCCCCCTCTTCATATAGAAGTCTATGAAAATAAGTCTATCATCTCCGCTTAATCTGAGTGTCACGGCCCAAAATTCAACTAGTCGTGATGGCACCTAACCAACCCGCTAGGTAAGCCAATTAACAAATATCTAATCCCAATGAGATTTAATAAGATAATTAAGTAAAAGAAAATATCTAAATCCTATACATTTCCCAAGGACTGGTAGTACAAATCATGAGCTTCGAAGAATAGAGTTTACAAAGTTGAAATGAAGTAAATACATCATCTGTTTGAAGAGTACATAAACAGATTTTTATAGATCTAAGGCTACTATGAACGAGAGGCAGCTACAACTGGAACGCAAGTACATCTTCAAATTCCGGCTCCCATCGATCACATCAACGTCAGCAGTCAATCTCTGCACGGAAGGTGAAGAAGTGTAGTATGAGTACAACCGACCCCATGTACTTAATAAGTAACAAACATGACCTTAGGTTGAAAGTAGTGACGAGCTAGAACAAAGGTCGGGTCCAATACCAATATCCCACAACATTTCATAACAGCATAGTACAGGTAATAAAAGGAGTATCTCAGAAATAAAATGCTTAGATCGTTCACAGTTCCAGAAAATAGGCATGCTTTTTAGGTATCTCAGTGAAAACCCAAATCTTTTATCGAAATTGCCAAAAATATGAGGAAGTTTGAAAACTGTGATTTTTCCCAAAAATCCCTTCAACAATCAATAAGATGTTTCATTTTCCTTTCAGTTAGCAAGTGTAAGATGTCTCTCTATGCTCATATGTCAAAATGTATGAGAAGTCATAAATGACGTGATACTATACAATATGAGAAACAATACATCTTTATGCATGTATGTCAAGTGTGCATGCCAAATGCGATGCAATTCAGTGATAAAGACCATATGCATACTCTCAAAGTATCATTTCACTTAGTCCTCCCGGTCACGCGGTCCTCCCAATCACTTAGTCCTTGCAGTCACTCAGTCATCACAATCACTCGGCACTCACACTCAGTAGGTACTTGCACTCACTAGGGGTTTGTACAGACTCCGGAGAGGCTCCTTCAGCCCAAGCGCTATATCAAACCAATCATGGCATAAAATCAATGAAACATGCTGCGACGTGCAACCCGATCCCATAAATATCCTCACAATTAGGCCTTTGGCCTCACCCAGTCATCAATCTCTCCAGTCTCTCGGGCTCTCAATGACATGAAAATTCAGCCCAAAAATAATGATGTGATGTATTAATAATGGCATCAGATACTGTAATATTATATGCATATGAATGCGTATGACTGAATATGTAATGCAATGAAAGCAGATAGCTCAATAACATAAATGACCTTGGTGGGTCTCAACAGAATAAGCATGTAGCATAGACATGGTTTCTAACATGGATCACAGCTCAAGAGCTCAGGTACTTAGAAATTTCATGGTTACAGGTAAGGTCCGATAACTATACAGTACCACAACAAATAGCGGAGTCATAATTCACACGGTGCACACCCACACGCCCGTCACCTAGCATGTGTGTCACCTCAACACCAAACCCAAAACACGTAATTCGGGTTTTCATGCCCTCAGCACTAAGTTTAGAAGTGTTACTTACCTCGAAGAAGACATTCCAATACCAAGCAAGCATGATATGCTCCAAACCATCTCGCGTTTACCGACCTCCGAACGGCTCAAAACTAGCCCAAAGCAACTCAAATACATCAAATAATGCCAAAGGAAACAAACTCAATCGATAAAGGTTGAATCTTTAATCAAAAGTCCAAAATCGGCAAAAAGGTCCAACACGATCCTGCACCTCGGAACCCGACAAAACTCGTAAAATACGACAACCCAGTCAATTATGAGTCCAACCATACTAGTTTCACTCAAATCCGACTCCAAATCGATGTTTAAAACTAAAAAATCACATTATGGAACTTTAGGCTAAAACCCCCAATTTCTCTTTAAAACTCATTAACCAATGCAAAAAATGAAGATAGATTTAAGAAATAAGATCAAAACAAAGTGTAGAACACTTACCCCAATCCTTGTGATGAAGATTGCTCCAAATATCGCCTCAAACTGAGTCCCACATCTCAAAATATGATAATAAAACCAAAGCCTCGATTTATAGGATTCTGCCCAGTATTCTCGCACCTGCGGCACATTAGCCGCTTCTGCGGCGTCACTTTTGCGACCAAAAACACGCTTCTGCGAAGAAGCACTGGAGGTCTGCCTTCGCACCTGCTGTAGAAACTCCACTGCTGCGCACACGCAGGTGCGAGTCCAAATTGTGCTTTTGCGTTGACGTTCACTTCTACGCCCTTTCACACAACACCTGCGCCTTTGCAGATGCGAATGAACCTCCGCTTCTAAAGACTCCTACTCCCAGCAACACCTCCGCTCCTGCGACTCCTTTGTCGCTTCTGCGACCATCGCACCTGCGCAAACCAACCGCAGGTGCGGTCATACCAGAACCAGCAACAACCAGCAATGAAAACATGAAGAAAATGATCTCAAATCAATCCAAAATACGCCCGAGCCCATCGAGACCCCGACCAAGTATACCAACAAGTCCCATAACATAATACGGACCTACTCGAGATCTCAAAACACACATAACAATATCAAAACGACGAATCACACCTAAATTCAAACTTGATGAACTTAAAACTTCAAACTTCCACAATCGATGCCCAAACCTATCAAATCACGTCCGATTGATCTCAAATTTTGTACACAAGTCCCAAATGACATAACGAAGTTATTCCAACTCCCGAACTACAATCTGATCCCGATATCCACAAAGTCAACTCTCGGTAAAACTATTGAACTTTCCAAATCTTCAAATTTCTAATTTTTGCCAATTTGTGCAAAAACCTTCGAGAAATATCCAAATGCAAATCCGTGCATACACACACGTCCGCAATCACCATACGAACCTACCAGAATAATAAAAACTCCATTCCGGGTTCAAATTTACAAAAAGTCAAACTTGGTCAACTCTCCCAATTTAAAGCTTCAACTAAGGATGTCCAATGGGACGGGACGTCCCGTCCCGTCCCGTCCCACTTAATTCTAAACTGGATGAGCCCATGTTAAACGATACACGGGATGGCTATTTCGTTCCGTTTGTCCCGTTCTGTTTCATCTCGTTTGTCCTGTTCTGTTTTGTCCCGTCCCGTCCTGCCTTCTACTTCTAAGTCTAGAGTAAAAGTTATGTGGGAAGATATGGATGATATAACAAGTTTTGATTCCTCTATTGATGATGAACTTGATTCTTATCTTAATCAAGGATTGGAAAGTATTAAAGACGAAGAAGGCAACGAACAAATTTTGGCATGGTGGAGGGAGCGTGGCAAGACTTTTCCAATACTTTCAATAATGGCCCGAGATATCCTTTCTATTCAAGAATCATCAGTAGCGTCGGAGAGTGCTTATAGCGCGGCAAGATTTCAAATCGAAGATAATAGACATTCATTAGCGGAGGACAGCCTAGAGATTTCCGTATTATTCAGAGATTGGATTAATTCATAAAGAAGAAATCTTGGTTTTGAAAAATTAACCACTAGGGAAGAAGAAGAATACAATAAGATACTTAGCACTGGAAGCGATGACGGCATGGAACTCATGGAACATCAATCAAAATTGCCAATTCCAAAACAATGTCCGAGAGAAATTATAGATAAGTTACAACGAAGTTATATAGGAGCTTACAAATATTAGTATGATAACTTGTAATTGGATACTAAGAGGCCTAGTTCAAACAGAACCCTTCCTAGAAGTGGCTGCGTAGATTAGGTGTTCTTCAAAAGAATTATATTTGTATGTGAGATTTGAAAGTTCTATTAATAAAATAAAAGGCTCTAAGCGTTGAATTTGTCTTATGAATTGTCTTACACTCTTACTTAGTTACTTAATGGCTTGAAACTATATTAAATAAATTATAACTCTATTATAAATTTATAATTACTAGAATATTTCATTACAAGTCTTTTGTTTTAATATTTTATAATGTTTTACTTAGTTTCCTAATTTCCGTTTAATTTTTAAGTTTATTAAATAAGTCAAAAAACTAGTGGTTGCAAACTTTAAAAACTTAGTCATTGTCTAAAGAATAGTCGTTGCCAAACTCAATGCTTAAATAACATTTTTTTTAACTTAAGGCCCGTGAACCCATCATGTTCCGTCCCATCCCGTTTTTTAGCGGGACGGGATGGGCCTACCGTCCGTCCCATCTCGTCTCGTCCCGTTTGTTAGCGGGACGGGATGGGCCTACTATTTCGTCCCATTTGTCTCGTCCCGTTTCGTCCCGTTCCATCCCATCCTGCCACTGTCCTGGCTAAATATCGTCCCGTCCCATTGGACAGCCATAACTACAACAATGAAATCCATTCTTCCAATTCGATTCTGAATAACCTAAAAATCAAAATCGACGATTCACATAAGTCATAATACATTATACAGAGCTACTCATGCCCGTAAACTACCGAGCGAAGTGCAAATGCTCAAAACGACCGGTTGGGTCGTTACATTCTCCCCCACTTAAACATACGTTCGTCCTCGAACGTGTTTAGAGTTGTTGTAAAAGTCATCAAACCGCCGTGTAACCTTACCATACACATACCAGGGGGTGATCCCATGTCACCCTATCCCATATAGGCCCGACAACACAACATATTGAGTATCATTACTCCAACCTTAGCCCGTAAACCTTAGAATCCAATTTCCAATTTCTGAAATTTCTTATAAGACCCGCATTTCGCATCTACACACTGAATAAGTCTGAACAAGTTGTATCAAGCCATAACCATAACCTAAGATGTAATCACGTGATATACCGCACAATTCAAATACTCATAGCAACATCTCCAATCACGGTAGCTGCCCAAAATAACCCAATTCCGGTAATAAACCTCATGTCAAACAAAACTTCATTCTAAAACCTTCGTACACTGCCTATGATGAAAGAAACATGCAAAAATTTATAACCATTCATCAGACCAACAAGTTATGGAGCTCCCTCTCCTTCAACAGGAATTATGGCCAATTTCTAAGCTGGCTTCCGATGTTATTCTTCCAAATATACCGCAATCGAATCCGATAGCACACATCCTAGATCCGACAACTTCATCTTATCAAATACCAACTACTCTACTGACATACAACAACAATACTACCCAGAGCCACAAACCGTGCAATCCATGCACCCATATGCAATAATTCAAATGTACTCAAACATGGAAAATTACTCAAATGAGAGAACCGTCCCGTAAGCTCAACAAATACCGCCACAACGCAATGCTAAACTCCCATCACACACCGGAGAACCATAACACACGATTCTAACACAAGGTTCATACCTTAACATAACTCCGCTGCAGCGCGTGACCCCGTCCAAATAATGGTCCATATTATATACCTCGAGCCACCCTGCTTAAAATCAATAACCACGGGTAGGAAAATGACACGATGCCACAAAAAACCTAAAAGAACATAACTATTACGCAATCGATCATGCAATACCCAAATACTCATCTCGCTCATATTCCGCTATAAGGCCCCAATAGAACTGCACCATGTGTGCCTAAAACCAATGAATCACAACTCCTCGTAGCATAGAAGAGTAACTCATAGATAATTTCAGAATAGGACTTAGTTCAACACCAACCGAATGGCACATCCCTCAATAGTAACAGTACAGAGTCAACCAATCCTACCCGGTGTAGAATACACATCCTCATTGGCCTACCAACGGGTGCCGAATCAACTCTGGTCATCCACAAACAGATAAATACCATATGAAGGTCCACAATGACTGAATCATAACACTTACTATCATTTGGCTAGCTCTGGCCACAACTTTACAATCCACAACCACGAAACAATCTTCTTCTAAGAACTCCCAGTCTCCAAATCCTTAGAACACACGAATCACCGTATCCGATCCCAACTCCACCGCCCAAATATCTAACACATCTCTCATACACGATCATCCCACGAGGAATACTTCTATAATTCTTCCGTGCCACAACACAATTCTGAATATCAACGGTATAACCCAGCGAGTACCGCAATACCAATGAAGCATCCTTAAGTCAAAATACAATGCGCCTTCTGAAATGCGCACCATTCTCATGTAATACCAAGTAGTAATATCATTCACCTAGTCATTTGAAACCGTTCATGCTATATAAGAATTTATGCCCTTCCCTTCAAAACTGATCTGTGACCTTGCACCTGCAAATCTTGATCCCACACAATACACTACATCGATCATGCCATCATATGAAATGTACGATAGTCTCATAATTCAACTCTGAGTCACCAGCAAACTACATTCTCCATTAGCCAGGAACCTTCCATTTGATCTCATCCCGGAGAAAATCATAATACACAATATGTTCCTCACACCAGTAGCAAATATACACCTCGAACTATGGTAAAAACCATTGGGAACACTTTGAAACCCATATGCACATGACCAAGTCATCAAAACTGAATCTCTCTAACTCTTCCAAGCCACACAGATCACCAAAACCCAAGAGAATTGTCACAAAACACCTATAGAGACTCACCACATCATAAGAACCCAAAGAACCGATTATATCCATTACTGTGTTGATCCAACCTACCACCAAGTTGTCCTAACTCTCTGAGTTCTTTCCGAATTAACTTTAAATTGATAGTTCTCCTCGCCATAATACCATGATCCTCAACCAAAACTCACCACATAAGAGACCCCAGTATAAAACCACAATGCCCTAAGGCTCATAAGCCGCTGACTTCTCTCTTATGCACCACAAAGAACCACAACTGATACACCCACTCTAAAGAGACCTTATGTGATCCTAAAATTGTTTCCTTCACCTACTTAATACTAAAATGCATAATCCACAATGATGTAAAAATGCCACAAGTCTCGACACCATCCAATGCAAATATCAGATCCTAGCCATATACCAATCCGAAATTCTCAATTGCTATATATAATTCTTGAATCCATTAGAACCATTCTTGAGAGTCATCCACTCTGCTCAAATCTCAATTGCACCGCCCCAAACGGGCCAAACGACTGGTGCCCCATTGGCACGATGACACCCAAAGGAGTAACCCCACCTTAACGTGACCAAGCAAATTCCTACTACATGGATACTACATCCTTCACGAATAACCACTCAATCATTCCATGATTCACATATACCCATAGAGTGTAATAAAACCCGTATCCAGAAAGCTCCTTACTCGAGTCATCCTCAATCTCAACCCCTATAGTCATAACTGATTCACCAGTATACCTCAAACCAAAACCAATACAACACATAATCGTTCAATCAACCCGTCGATAACAAACTCCCCCACTTGGCTCAAAGCCATAGAACAAAATAGTCAATAACATCATGATACCCATACTCTATTCTGCCAAAATCCAGCACTAAAATTCAACTAAATCCTTCGTAAGATCATGTAACACAAACCATATAATACCTCAAATCGTCTGCTAATCTCGCATTCATCCTCGTGATAGTCAGGTCAACTGTTACAACCGATCCAAACTCAAATCGCATAAATATACCCCACTAGAAGAAAAGAAAGCCTCCACACAACATTATAAAAATTACACATCTGTATATTACCTCGCAGGTTATAACCCACCTGCTTAGCCTCAAACTGACATCTCTTTATATCCTTTCACAGCCACAACTACTAAGCAATCACTTAATCTCCCTGAGTCTGAACTCACCAACAAGGAATGAGAACCTACTTCACTCCATAATTAAACAACATGAAAGGTGCCCTCAACACCCCAATAATTCGAGCCAATACGTCAGATCAGGACAGAAATCAAACACCCAATGGTACTTTCTACATCTCAAGCAATCTCTTCCCGTCACACTCAAACCATATGAACATATCTGACAGTCACATCATACTCATCACATAGCCATCCAGCCACTTATCAAGCCACGGATTCCGCTCATAGGGACACTACCGGACGTATAAGTGCAAAAGCATGTGCTCACACAACCGAAATCTCCATGCTCAAGCTACAATCAAAACCCGACCTTATGTCCTCCAGACTGGCCCATCATCAGCACAGCAAAATCACATCTTGCACCTCGTCTATGGAATCACAAGCCGTCGATGCATAACTGATACCGAGCGCTCACATGCGTATGCGAATGCGTGGAAGGAATTCAAAGAGTTACACTTCAAGTTGAATCAATGTCGCACGATAAGGAAAGAAAGATAGGAAGTATATCCTAAATATCATGTAGCCTCTCGAAGATAGGTATGGATATCATCATACCGATCCGCAAGACTCGACTAGACACTTGCTCATGACTTGTAGTACCTATGAACCTAGAGCTCTTATACCAACTTGTCACGACCCAAAATTCAACTAGTCATGATGGAACCTAACCCAACTCGCTAAGTAAGCCAATTAACAACTATCCAATCCTAATGAGATTTAATAAGATGATTAAGTAAAAGAAAATATCTAAATCCTATACATTTCCCAAGGACTGACAGTCAAATTATGAGCTTCTAAGAATAAAGTTTAAAAAGTTGAAATGAAGTAAATATATCATCTGTTTGAAGAGTACATAAACAAAGTTTTATAGATCTAAGGTTCCCATGAACAAGAGACAGCTACAACCGGAACACAGGTACATCTTCAAATTACGTCTCCTGTCGATCACTACAACGTCAGCAGTCAATATCTGCACGCAAGGTACAGAAGTGTAGTATGAGTACAACTGACCACATGTACTTAATAAGTAACAAACCCAACCTTAGGTTGAAAGTAATGACAAGCAACAACAAAGGTCGGTTCCAATACCAATATCCTACAACAATTCATAACAGCATAGTACATGTAATAAAAGGAGTATCTCAGAAATAAAATGCTCAGCTCGTTCACAGTTCCAGAAAATAGACATGATTTTCAAGTATCTCAGTGAAAACCCAAATCTTTTTACCGAAATTGCCAAAAATATGAGTAAGTTTGAAAACTGTGAATTTTCCCAAAAATCCCTTCAACAATCAATAAGATGTTTCATTTTCCTTTCAGATAGCAAGTGTAAGATGTCTCTCTATGACCATATGTCAAAATGTATGAGAAGTCATAAATGACGTGATACTAAACAACATGAGGAAAAATGCATCTATATGCATGTATGTCAAGTGTGCATGCCGAATGCGATGCAATTCAGTGATAAAGACCATATGCATACTCTCAAAGTATCATTTCACTCAGCCCTCCCAGTCACTCAGTCCTCCCAATCACTCAGTCCTCGCAGTCATTCAGTCCTCCCAATCACTCGGCACTCAGCACTCGCACTCAGTAGGTACTTGCGCTCACTAAGGATGTGTACAGACTCCGGAGAGGCTCCTTCAATCCAAGCGCTATATCAAACCAATCATGGCATAAAATCAATGAAATATGTTGCGACGTGCAGCCCGATCCCATAAATATCTTCACAATTAGGCCATTGGCCTCACCCAGTCATCAATCTCTCCAGTCTCTCGGGCTCTCAATGACATGAAAATTCAGCCCAAAAATAATGATGTGATGTATCAATAAATGGTATCAGAGACTGAGATATTATATTCATATGAATACATATGACTGAATATGTAATGCAATGAAAGCAGATAGCTCAACAACAGAAATAAACTCGGTGGGTCTCAACAGAATAAGCATGTAGCATAGACATGGTTTCTAACATGGATCACAGCTCAAGAGCTCAGGTACTTAGAAATTTCATGGTTACAGGTAAGGTCCGGTAACTATACAATGCCACAAAAAATAGTGGAGTCATAATTCACACGGTGCACGCCCGTCACCTAGCATGTGTGTCACCTCAACACCAAACACATAACACGTAATTCGGGATTTCATACCCTCAACAGTAAATTTAGAAGTGTTACTTACCTTGAAGAAGACAAATTCCAATACCGAGCAAGCCATGCGATGCTCCAAACCATCTTGCGTGTACCGACCTCCGAACGGCTCAAAACTAGCTAAAAGCAACTCAAATACATCAAATAATGCCAAAAGAAACAAACTCAATTGATAAAGGTCGAATCTTTAATCAAAAAGCCCAAAATCAGCCAATAAGTCCAACCCGGGCCTGCACCTCGGAACCCGACAAAACTCATAAAATCCGATAACCCAGTCAATTACGAGTCCAACCATACTAGTTTCACTCAAAACTGACTCCAAATCGATGTTTAAAACTCAAAAATTTACATTATGGAACTTTAGGCTAAAACCCCCAATTTCTCTTTAAAATTCATCAACCAATGTCAAAAATGAAGATAGATTCATGAAATAAGATCAAAACCAAGTGTAGAACACTTACCCTAATCCTTGTGATGAAGATTGATCCAAAAATTGCCTCAATCTGAGTCTCACATCTAAAAATATGATAAACAAAACCAAAGCCTCTATTTATAGCATTCTACCGAGCATTCTCGCACCTGCAGCACATTAACCGCTTATGCGGCATCGCTTTTGTGACCAAAAACACACTTCTGCGAAGAAGCACTGGAGGTCTGCCTTCGCACCTGCGATAAAAACTCTATTGTTGCGCACACATATGTGCGAGTCCAAATTGTGCTCCTGTGCTGACGTTCCCTTCTGCTCCTTTTCACACCGCATCTGCGCCTTCGCAGATGCAAATGAACCTCCGCGTTTGCGGACTCCTGCTCTCAGCAACGCCTCCACTCCTGCAACTCCTTTGTCGCTTCTGCGACCATCGCACCTGCGCAAACCAACCACAGGTGTGGTCACACCAGAACTAGCAGCAACCAGCAACCAGCAATGAAAACATGAAGAAAATGATCTGAAACACGCCCGAGCCCCTCGGGACCCCGACCAAGTATACCAACAAGTCTCATAACATAACACGGACCTACTCGAGGCCTCAAAACACACATAACAATATCGAAACGACAAATCATACCTAAATTCAAACTTGATGAACTTGAAACTTCCACAATCGATGCCAAAACCTATCAAATCACGTACGATTGACCTCAAATTTTGCACACAAGTTTCAAATGACATAACGAAGCTATTCCAACTCTCGAAACCACAATCCGATCCTAATATCCACAAAGTCAACTCTCGGTCAAACTTTTAAACTTTTTAAACCTTCAAATTTCCAATTTTTGCCAATTTGTGCCGAAAACTTCTAGAAACATCCAAAGGAAAATCCGGGCATACGCCCAGGTCCAAAATCACCATACGGACCTACCAAAACCATCACAACTCCGTTCTGGGTTCAAATTCACAAAAAGTCAAACTTGGTCAACTCTCCCAATTTAAAGCTTCAACAATGAAATTCATTCTTCCAATTCGATTCCGAATAACCTGAAAACCAAAATCGATGATTCATATAAGTCATAATACATCATACGGAGCTACTCATGCCCGTAAACTACCGAGCAAAGTGTAAATGCTCAAAACGACTAGTCAGGTCGTTACACTTAGCGCCATCCCCTCCCCCCCATCAATACTCTACCGTCTTTATCTTTGATGCACCTCACTTGATCCAAATCACGAGCCATTATATCTCTCGCCTTAGCCAGCCGAAATAACTTCTTATCCCCGCCATTGTCCCCCAGTTCCTCGTACAGTCGGCCAAACGCTGCAGTCTTGGCCTCTATGACTGCCAACTTTGCCTCCTTCCTCGCTACCTTATACTTCTCTATGTTCGCTCTCCCCTCCTCTTCGTCTGAGCTCCTAACTAACTTCAAGTACGCCGCCTTCTTCACTTCCACTTTGCCTTGGACCACATAATTCCACCACCAGTCGCCTTTGTGCCCGTCAGAGAAACCCTCTAATACCCCTAACACCTCTCTCGTCGCATCCTTTATACAGTTCGCCATCTTCGTCCATATAGCGCTCACAAGCCCACTACTCCTTCAGGATCCCATAGCCGATAACCTCCCCTCAAACTCCTGAGATTTATCTTTAGTCAAGGCTCTCTTAGTCAAGGCTCCCCACCTGATCCTCGGTCGTCCTCAAACATACCGCTTCTTCCTCCTTATCATGATACTGACGTCCATTACCAAGAGCCTAAGTCGCGTCGCGAGGGTCTCGCCCAGGATAACCTTGCAATCCTTACACAACCCTCTATCGCACCTCCTGAGGAGGAGATAATCAATCTGAATCTTTACCACCGTACTTTGGAATGTAACTAAATGTTCCTCCCGCTTCGGAAAACTAGAGTTCGCAATCACCAGTTCAAATGCCTTAGCGAAATCCAATAGCGAAGTTCCTCCTGTGTTAATACTTCAATAATAATTGGGTTCACGCTCAAATATTTATAGATATTTAATGAATTTCTTAATATACATATGTATGATCTATACAAAAGTTACTTGATTCACGGAAATCCGTAAGCAAAACAATAGATCTGCCCTCGTTCCTTACCGGTGACTCTCCTCCACAGAAATATTATCCTCTTGTATTATTTGGATAATCTTTCTTTATTTTTTTCTCTTTTATTTTAATATATTATAATTTTTTTCCCCTACTTTGTGTCCTTCATTAAAACAAGTATATGGAGGTACTAATAGTTCCGCAAAAGTTGAGTGTGAAACTAACTTTTTTCGGACATATACAAAGTGCATATGATGTATTTTTCCTTAGTAATTTGAGAATCCACAAGCTAAAAGTTATCTTTAGAATACGTTACAAATGATTTACTCACTGTGCGTGTTATATTATAATGTATAAAAGTAAATCATTTTGGGTAGAGGATATACTTTGACAAAATTATTGACCGAGTCATATATTAAGGTTTATTTTCTTTTGATTAGAGTCATTGAACTTGGTACATGATTTAATCATGTAACATTTTGCCGCCCATTTGACAATCTTTTAATTTCACACTTTTGACTAGAAAAATACAAAATCAACGCTGAGACATTAACATGCGTTGGACCAAAAAGGTTTATTTTCGCTATCTCCCCCTCTCTCTCATAAGTTCTTAGCAAAAAAAAACTTAGTTTATGTCAATTTTAAGAATTACTAAACCTCCAATCACTTATTTTTCTTTATGTTATAATTGTCTTAAAAACGGTAAAAATATAGAGAACAATATTTTTTATGAAATAATGACAAAAATTTTGAAACAACTTTTTGTAATTGTGGAATATTATTGCTCGCATTTAAAAGAAAGAAATTGATGTTTTTCAGATGGAAATTTATATGGGCATATGACAATGTCAAAATATAAATAACCCAAATATCTATCTATTCAATCGTTAAAACTAAAAATAACTTGTAGATGTATAATCTATGTATACCTCTAGACAAAATAAATATTGAGCCGGCTATTCATGTAAAACTTTCTGTCCAAAATCGCCTGGCTACCCAAAATGATGGTTGTAATCTCCTGGGCCACCCAAAGTGATAGGTACACATGGGTGTATCTTAGGTATGGGGTAGAGAATGATTTAGAATTTCAGAAGGATATGTGCATTATTTAAATAGGTTCTATGATTCTTAAATTTTATGAATNATATATATATATATATATATTGGGATGATTTATTGAACCATTAACTATATGTTACATCTTTTATTGCTACTATTTGATACAAAAATTCGCTTTAGTTATATTAAATGTTAAGATTAAAAAAGAAAAATAGAGATTCAATATGTCAAACTTGAAAATTTTAAAATAATTAACCAAATATAGAAAGAAAAAAAGGTACTTAATTAAATTACAAGATAGACATGGAAATTGAACCTTCAATCTCAATAGAGGTGCACTCATTACTAATTTGCACCATAAGACTTTTTGAACTTGGGTACACACATATATAAGTATTTTTTTTAAAATATAGTAATATTGTTATACATGATCTAGGGAGAGAAGCATGAGTTCTGTTACGCGGCGCCTTCCTGAGATTCCTTGGAAGGGCGACGTAAGGCTAAGCAATCGATATCCATGTAGTTACTATCCCCAATTGGGGTCCCCTCCGTACGCTAGACTAGATAGTCAGTGCCATATGGGAAAACCAATTGTCAAGAGCAAATGAGAGAATTGAGAATGAAAGAAAACTTGATTGCATTAATGAAAGCTATTACAGAAAAGCAACATGGTGTCGAGGAGGAGAGATACCAGTACAGAGAATTATTTGCTTGTTAGAAAGTTGATTGCTTGATCCCCTCCTAATAGTGCTTAAAACGATAAACTAAAGTTATAGGACTTGACCAAACTAAGCTAGAGAGATAAAATAAAAATACATGAAATAAAACTACTTTATATTTACTACGAAAGGGACTTAGATTCCTACAAAGTAGAAGTCGGTCCGTTGACAACAACCTTGTCTTTACCATCAAGGTCTGCAAACACGGCGTTGTCTGTGCGTGCGACACTGTTGGCATCTGCCTTCGGCTGGGCGCTAGCGAGGGCTATCAGTGGGGAAACATAGGCACAGGCGTACTTGTCACTTGGCGCGGCCAAGACCACGGGGTCCACCATGGTGCTAGGCGTTGGGAGGCTTTCCAGGATGCAATGGGGCGCGTCCAAGAGTTCATGGGGCATAGCTGGAAAGCCGCCCATAACATTCTCCCCCACCTGAGTTGACGACATCCTCGACTCCTTACTTGCAAGATAATCTTCGATCAGGCTCTTGTAGGCTTTGAGGTTTGTTCCCTTCTCTCAAATATTCTTCTCTGTATTACAACCCTGCCATTTCACCAGGAACTCTTGGTGATCTTTCCTTGAAGCATGAATCACTCTATCATCAAGAATGGCTTCTACCCACATTTTCCCGGTTGAATTAGGGCCTTGAATGCTAGGTACTATGAGTTGGATCCGCGAAGGATCCTCCATGTCTTCCCGAAAAGGTTTCAGAAGGCTGATATGGAAGACAGGATGAATCTTCCACCATGCTGGGGTATCCACCCGGTATGCAACTTTCCTAATGCTCTTCTCAATGGACAAGGGTCCAATGTACTTTTGCAATATGTGAGTGTCATGGACCCCTGCAAACAAGTACCGCTTTGGGATTTTCACCATCACTTTGTATCCTACTTGATATTCAACAAAGCGACGATTTTGATCAGCATGTTTTTTCATTCGTTTCTGGGCCTTGACAAGATAGCTCTGCACTATCTCCAAATTTTTCTTCCATTCCTTCGAGAAGCTAACAGCTCGAGGAGATTTTTACATGTTTGGGGAATTCACAGTGTGTGGGAGTAGAGGTTGATGTCCGGTAACAATTTTAAAAGCGCTTTTATTTGTACTAGAGATCTTTTGTGAATTGAAACACAGTTTAGCAGCATCCAGAAGCTTCACCCAATTCTTCTATGATCCGGTAAGAAAGTGGCAAAGATATTCCTCTAGCATGCCATTAAATCACTCCGTCTGGCCATCAGATTGCGGATGGAAACTTGAGTTGTGGCTCAGTTTGGACCCGCGGTACTTAAAGACCTGAGTCCAAAAATTGCTAGTGAAGCAAGAGTCGCGATCACTAACGATGTCTTTAGGCAGACCCCAATATTTGACAATATAAGAGAATAAGAGTTGAGTTGTATCTTCTGCTGATATATATTATGGACAGCTATAAATGTAGCATACTTGGAAAATCGATCTACCACAACTAAGATAGTTGTAAGATCTCCGGCCTTAGGCAGTCCGATGATGAAATGCAGTGAAACGCTTTCCCAAGGTCTCTTTAGAACAAGCAGTGGCTCCAAAAGTCCCGCTTGTGTCAAGCGGTCTGACTTGTCTTTCTGGCATACTAAGCTAGTCTTCACATACTTAGCCACATCATCAACCATTTGAGGCCAATAATAAGCACGGTGCAACAACGTGCTGGTGCATTCTTCAGCTGGATGTCCGGCCCACAAAGTATCATGGCATTCCATCAGAAGAGTCCTTCGCAGATACCCTCTTTTAGGAACATAAAGTTAGTTCCCTTTAACCTTCAGGAACCCATCTTCCATGTAGAACTAGCGAGTTTTGCCCTGTCCTACCAAATCGACCAAATACTGTGCAACATGATCCTTTAGAAATAGATCTTATATCTGATCTCTTATAGTGGTGGCCACTTAGCTCCCCCTTAGGGTGGCGAGTAGGCACACCGATGCTATGTTAACCCTTTGGCTGAGTGCATCAGCAACTTGTTGGTCTTCCCACCTCTGTACTCCAGGTTGAAGTGAAATTCTACTAATAGTTCCTGCCACCTGGTCTGTCGGCCATTCAGCTTTGACTGGTTCATGAAATGGCTAACAATTGTGTTGTCTGTCTTGACCACAAATGGGGTTCCCAGCAAATAGTGCCTCCAAAGGCATAAGCAATGGACGAAAGCAAATAATTCTTTTTCATGGGTGGCATAGCGTCGTTTTGCATACTTCAACTTCTGAATCTCGTACGCCACTGGATGCCCCTTGTGTAGCAAGACTCCACCTAGAGCATAGTCGGAGGCATCCAACTATACATCATGCCTTGCCCAAATCAGGAAGGTCCAAGATGGGGCTACTAGACATAGCCACTTTTAATGCGTTGAAGGCCTCCGCTCACTTGGGACCCCAATCCCAAGGCGTGAAACGACAATGCAATGAGAGAGTAATCCTTCACAAATCGTCGATAAAAGTTGCATAGGCCAAGAAACGCCCTCAAGGCGTGGATATCCTTAGGCGGCAGCCAATCTGTGACTTCCTGGATCTTCTGTTGGGCCATCTTTATCCGCCCTTCCTCGATGACATGTCGGAGGAAGTCAATCTATTTTTGGGTGAATGCGCACTTGGATAGCTTCACATATAGTTCGTGTTCCCGTAGTTGGGCTAGGATCTTCCGCAGGTGCTCCAAGGGTTCATCCAATGTCTTGCTATATATCACAATTTCGTCCAAGTAGACTACTACAAACTCATCGATGTACTCTCGAAAGACTTGGTTCGTCAATATGCAAAATATGGCTGGAGCATTAGTCAAGCTGAATGGCATGACCAGGAAGTCGTACGACCCATATCTTGTCACACATGTCATCTTGTGTTCATCTCCTTCAGCAATTCGGACTTGCCAGTAACCTGTCTTCAGGTCTATTTTGGTGAACACTGTGGCACCATTCAATCTATCAAACAAGGCTACCATTAGAGGGATATGGTACTTGTTCTTCACGGTGATTTTTTTTAGGGCCCGATAATCTACACAGATTCGTAGAGTGCCATTCTGTTTCTTTTGGAATAGCACATGGGACCCATAAGAGGACTTGGAGGGCACAATGATCCCCGTATCTAGCATTTTCATCAACTGTCTTCGAAGCTCGGTGAGCTCGGGTTGTGACATTCTATAAGGCGCCCGGGCAGGTGGCTTCGCACCCGGCACCAACTCAATCTCATGGTCCATAGTGCACCTAGGCGGGAGTTGCTTTGTCATGTCCTGTGGCATGACGTCTTCAAACTCCAGTAGCAGCTCTTTCACGTATGCATGAATGGGACCCAAGTAGTGTTTTATATCTTCAATACATAGGGTAGCCAGGAACGTAAGTTCCTGTCTTTTGACTCTCGTCTTTAACTACAAGGCCGAGATGTTCTCAGCGGCCATCTTTATGGTTGTACAGGGAATAATATAGGGCTTGGCCCCGTTTTCTCCCATAATCAGTAGCATGTCGGCATACGGTACTGGAATGGTGTTGGTTTGCCTTATGAATTTCAGCCCAACTATCAGCTCGAAGTCATCTATGATCACCATGCGCAAGTTTACTTTTCCTTCATAAGGACCAAGCTTCACTGGCACTCCTTTGTCTATGCCACCCACCGGCTGAGGCAGTAAGTTAATAGACTTAACACGACCTCTGCCCTTTCCCACATCTAGACAAAGGCATTCTACCTGAGTTGAGGCTAAATAGTTTTGAGTAGCACCCGTGTCTATCATCGTTCGAATGAGCTTGCCATTATCTTTCATCTCGATAAACATAAAGGTCTTCCCTTGGTTAAGAGGAGGCATTTCATCCGCCTTCTTTTTCCCTTTATTGTTCGTTGGGCATGGGTTTTTCTTCTTACGGATACCGGCACGGGTCCTCACTATGGCCTCAAAAATAGAACAAACAAGTGCGTTGAAGGAACCTATTGGTTCAGTCTGGTCAACATCATTTATGTCGTCATCCGTCTCAAAATTTTGATGGGCATTCATCTGCGCATGTGGGCATTCATTGTTCCAATGTGTATTGTCACAATGACGTCATCTTGAAGGGGGTTTCCTCATTGTTAGATGTAACACTATTGCTTCCTGAGGAAAGAGCCTTAGATTTGGTTGCACTCTGATCTCCTCCACTTCTGCTAGGGCCACCATTGTCAGGCTGACCCCCTTTGTATCCCCCACAGACAGGCGGTTGAGGTCTATCCTTCCAAGCTTCTACTTGATAGTCCATAAGGCATTATGCTGCTTGGATTGCCTTGGCTAAAGTATCTACCCTTTATCTTTGCAGCTCCACACGAGCATAAGGTTTCAAACCTTCCAAGAATGTGAAGAGTTTGTCTTTGCCCCCCATATCTCGTATGTTCAGCATAAGCTTAGAGAATTCCCGCACGTAATCCCGCACTAACTTGGTCTGGCAGAGCTCTCGTACCTTTCTCCACGCATTGTACTCAATATTTTCGGGGAAGAACTGTAGGCGTATGGCTGCCTTCAGTTCTGGACATGTCTCAAGAGCATCTTCACCGGCTTTGATGGATTCGTATTTTACTCGCCACTAGACTTTTGCATCACCCTGAAGATACATGGCAGCAGTTGCTACTTCTTTGGTATTCCTAGATCCATTGTATGATTTTGGCTCATGAATCTTCAGCTTTTGTGGCACAGGGGCGAGGTTCACAGCACCCCCGATCTAGTTTCTGTTTCCTCGAAGTAGGCCTTGTAGTGCAACATTGACAACGTTGAGCTGGCCTGTCAAGTTGTCTATAGTTTGCTGCATGACAGTCATCCTGTCTGCCTCTGGTTCCCTGTAGGCTAAATCCTTGGCACGCTCCTGTTGGAGGCCCTCGAATTTACCAAATATTTTGATTGCCTCTATGGCTGCAGTTTGCCGGTCTCCCTCAGAGTCGCGACTAATGTTCGCAATGTCAGTTTCGGCCTGCCGGATCCTGCGGTCCAGGTCGTCCAACCTTTGCACTAGGTTGGTTCTTAGATCAGGCACCGTATCCACGATGGATCGTAATACGTCAACCGTCTCTTCAAGGGATGCAATGCAGTCCCCATGATTCACCATGGTCAGAAATGGTAGTAATGGCAATGTGTTCCCTCATCCGTTGTCGAACCTAGGCTCTGATACCAACTGTTACGCGGTGCCTTCCTGAGATTCCTTAGAAGGGCGATGTAAGGCTAAGCAATCGATGTCCATGTAGTTACTATCCGCCAACTGGGGTCCCCTTCGTATGCTATACTATATTGTTAGTTCCGTACGGGAAAACCAATTATCAAGAACAATTGAGAGAACGGAAAAGAGAATTGAGAATGAAAGAAAACTTGATTGCATTAGTGAGAGCTATTAAAGAAAAGCAACACGGTGTCGAGGGGAGAGACACTAGTACAGAGAATTATTTGCTTGTTAGAAAGTTTGATTGCTTGATCCCCCCTAATAGTGCTTAAAAAAAATAAATCAAAGTTACAGGACTTGACATTACTAAGCTAGAGAGACAATATGAAAATACATGAAATAAAATTACTCTATATTTACAATGAAAAGGACTTAAATTCCTACAAAGTAGAAGTCGGTCTGTTGGCAGCAATCTTGCCTTTTGTATCAGGATCTGTGTGTGCGGCGTTGTTGGTATCTACTTGCGGCTAGGCACTAACGATGGCTATTGATGAGGCACATGCGCGCTTGTCACTTGGCGCGGCCAAGACCATGGGGATTTGGAGGCATTGGTCAAATGTGCTCTTGAGCTTTGCAGTTAAATTTTCTTACCTGGGATCAAATCCCATCTATTGCTTTTTGTTTTGTTAAATATTAATTACTCAACTGTAACCAGATTTCTTTCTTTTTTTGGTTGTTTTTTTAACTTTAGTTTCGCCC